GGGCTGCAGCCAGAGCAGAGGCCCTGAGAGGCTGGCGGTAGCTGTGGTGGGGCTGGAGTTCACTGAGCACCTACTGTGTGCCGGGCCCGGGGCTTTGCCCCTGTTATCTCTCTGAATCCACGTGGCGTCCTGTGGGATGAGCATCGCTCCAGCTCCACGTTACGGACGAGGACACAGACGCAGAGAGAGCCTGGGCGACTGGCCCTGGGTCACACAGCCCGTAAACTTAGAGCCAGATGTGTACCTGGTAGTCTGATGGCAGAGGCCAGGCTAAAAGGCCATGCTGGGCTCTGTCCTGAGAGAAGCCTTGTGAGTCCAGGAGAGCCCAGAAGCCCTGATAGAGGGGGGTCCTGGTAACTTCACGAACCCGGATCTGTTTCCGATTTCAGTTCAAGGGGTCAGAGAGGAATTACTTCCTGTCTCCGCTGACGGAATCGCGGAGCTGGGCTGAGCCAATCGGCTCTACCCTCTGCAGCTCCCGGGGGAAGGGCGAGCTGGCCGCCCTGCTCATGACTGGCTCTGCAGGAGGAGGGCTCCCTGCCCTTCTGCGTTCCACACGGGGCTGGACCTAGGCAGCTGCGACAGGTCAGGGCCGCGAGGAAAGGTTCCAGCTAACCACAGTGCGTCCTGCGGTCTCAAGGTTTCTGGGGGCTTCTCACTTTCACTTTCAGTGCTGGTGGGACCAGTTCCTGTTTCTTTTCCCTTTTTTTTTTTTAAGATTTATTTATTTTATTTATTTGAAAGGCAGAGTTACAGAGAGAGAGAGAGAGAGAGAGATCAATCTTCCACCTGCTGCTTCACCCCCCAAATGACTACAATGGCCAGGGCTGGGTCAAGCCAGGATCCAGGAGCCAGGAACCCCATCCGGGAGTCCCACGTGGGTGGCGGGAACTCGGGCCAGCCTCCACTGCTTCCCTGGTACTTCAGCAGGGAGCTGGGTTGGCAGCAGAGCAGCCGGGACGCAAACCGGCCCCAAATGGGCTGCCAGTGTGATAGGCGGCAGTTCCTGCTGTGCCATGGTGCCGCAGCAGGAACGGTCTCTGATCTGGCCGGGAGAACGGGGGCCTTGGTGACAGTGAGAATCTGTTGCAGTTTCTCGTCTGACTGCCAGGAGTAGTGGGCTCTATCTCTCGGGGTCTCTGTGGGCAAATGCGTCTGCTCAGGGCCTGGCACGGGGAAGGTTCTCAGCAAGTGCTCGTGTTCTCCTCTCCAGGGTGGGGGCGGCAACCAGCTGCTCCGACTCCGCCCGGCTCTCGCAGGCAGGCTCCCTGGAAGGCTTGGGCCCCGCCTGCTGCTTTCCGCACAGAAAAATATTTGGACTGAAGGGTGGCCCCAGCCCGTGAAGGGCACAGCCCCTGACTCAGTGCCGGCAGGAGGCCGGGGCAGCTGTCGGGACTTAGCCGCCCGTCCTCACGTCCTCACCCGCTGAGCCCCTGCCCTTTGCCCAGCCTCCTGGCCGGGGCTCCCAGGGCCCTGCCCGGGGCCCCTTTTTTCTCACGCTGCTCGGGGCTGATCTGTCCCTAGCTGCAGGGGAGAGCCTCGCCTCTGTTTTCCCAACTGCTCAGCCACATGCCGAGTCTGATGCTTCTCGGGACGCAGCCCCACGTGGGGCGCCCTCCCGGGCCACGGTGCTGGGGTCAAGGGCAGAGTGCACAGTGGTGCGGGAGGAGAAGTGGGTGCGGTCCGGCTCGTTCTGCAGCCAGGTGGCTCAGGGACTGCAGAAAGGTCGTTCCCCCTTGCTGGGCCCGAGTTGTCATGTGGGAAACGAGGACGTGTCGCTGCATGAGATGGCAGATACGTGTCACACGCACCACCCCCATAACTGCTGACGTCACTACCGGATGTCAACCTGCTTCGCGCCTCAGCATCCTTCTCAACACAGCACTCCGGGAAGAGCGCGTCCACCGGAGGGCGCTCACCTGCCTTCCCCCAGCGCTGAGCTCTCCCCCAGCCACGCGCCCTGGAGGCCCGCAAGCCCCCGACGCTAACCACTCACCGTGCTTGGCCAGGAACCTCAGGGCGTCCAGCTGCCCACTTTGTGCGGCCACGAACAAGGGGGTGATGCCGCAGGGGGTCTTGGATTCCACCTTGGCCCCTCCGCCCACCAGGATCTCCATGACCTCCAGGTCGTTGCGAGAGACAGACTCGTGCAGAGCGTCCAGCCCCGGTTGCAGCGGTGGTTGGTGTCCGCGTTGTGCTGCACCAGGATCCGCACGGCCTCCGCGTTCTTCCTCTCACAGGCTGTGCCGGGGAGAAGCAAGACCGTCAGCAAGCTGTGCCCTGCCCTGGTAGGTCCGTTCGCTCCTCACCAGCCGTTCACTCCGCAAGCATCCACCTGGGATGTAGGATGCTGGTGCTGGCTGTCGGGCTGGGGTTACCACCCCCTTTCACCACCGAGGAAGGTGAGGCACAGAGCGGGCAAGTGACCTGCCCAGAGTCACACGGAGATTAAGTGGCAGAACGGGGATTCCAACCCTGCAGAGACCCCTGGACTGTTCTGCAGGCCCCTCTTCCAGGGTGACCTGCTCCGGTCCCCTGAGTCGCCCAGGTAAGAGGACCCTTCCCGGCTGAGGAGCGGGCGGGATCATACTCCTGCCAACCCCACAACTCCTGTAGGGAAGCCCGACTCGTGAGCACAGCTCGCCCAGAGCTGTCACCAGGGAGCTGCTCCCGGCCCCCTGTCCACACTAGCCCCGCTGGAGGCGTCTCGGTGTCCTTGCTGGGGCAAAGGGGGCTGGCACAGGGCACAGGGGCTCCACTGGGACCAAAGCCCAAGCCTCCACCCCACCACGCCTTGGTTTTCTTACCTGTAAAATCTAGAATAGAAACATCTCGGTGGGGAGGACGGAGTGAGACTGCACGGAAGGCGCTAGCGTGGTGCTGGGCACCCGGTAGGAGCAGGGCCAAGCGCCTGGCTGTGACTCGCCCAGCTTCCTGGGAGCTGTCTCTGGGCCAGCTGAGGCTCCAGGTGACAGTTAGGGCACCTGTCCAGGCAGACGCGGGCTCCAGGAAGACACTTGCCCTGGGAGCCTGCACTGGATCCAGCTGCCTGCTGCTACCCAGTCCTCATTGCCCACGGAATAGTCCCAGGGCTGGAGCAGGCACGTGTGAGTCAGGGCTATCCGCCCCCTTTCAAAGGATAAAACCGTCATTTTCACAAGACCCGAGCTGAGGGCCTGAGCCCATGGGTGAGAGCTGAATACTGCTGTACTGACCCAGAGTGGGGTGCCAGCGTCTGGCTCCTGGGGCCATCCCAGGTCTGCCCCTTGCAGGCTGTGTGGTCCTGGGCAGCTCACCTCACATCTCTGTGCCTTAGGGCCTCACCCATACAAATGAGGATTCTAGCAGTGCCTGCCTGCCCCATAAGTGGTGGATATTCAGGTTCCAGAGAAGAGAGCGCTGGTGCGTGGTGAGCACCTGATTAATGCTAGCCGTTAGCATGATTCAGATTTCCACTATGGGCACTGCGAGGGCGGTCAGTGAGTGTCCTGAGTGAGCCGGGACAAAGGCTGCAGGCACAGGAGCTGTCACACCCACGTCTCTGAGCCTGTGCCTGCGCTGGGCCCCCTGCTTGGCCAGCTGGTGTGTGCCTGGGGTTCGGGCTCAGGCACCAGGGCCTGTCCACCATGCTCCCTCCAATGCCCCCAACAAGCTCTTTTCCCACGGGACCAGGAGCACCCACGGCCACCGATGGCATCTTTTCATCTTTGAGCCCTCGGTGTCCGCCCTCGTGCTGGCCTGCGGGAAACGCGCAGGAAATGCCTGGATGAATGACTGGTTCAGTGACGTGGGTAACACATCTGAGCAGGCTCGGTCCCCTTCTGCACTGGCGGGAGCAATGCTCCAGACCACCCACCCAGCGTCCGGACTCTTCCTCGGGGAAGCCCACCCTGGGGGCTCACCTTTGTAGAGGGGCGTCTCCCGGGACTTGTTGGAGATGTCAGGCTCCGCCCCCGCCTGGAGCAGCGAGAGGACACAGTCCAGGTGTCCCCTGCATGTTGCGAGGTAGAGGGCTGTTTCCTCCTGCAGGGTGCGCTGGTCAATGGTCCCGGGGTATTCTGGGAGGACCAAGCAAGCAGTTCACCAAGGAAGGAAGCACCTGCCCCGCACAGCCACTCCTGGTTTCCTCCCAGTCCCAAGGACGGACAGCCAGAGTGTCCTCTGGAACTGGCCCCTGCCCTCTCCTGGTCCTGCAAGCCCAGTTCGGCTGCCACCTCCTCTGGGGAGCCTTCCCTGGTTGGCTCCTCCTGCTTCTGCACTTCCGCCGGCACTGCTGATGACTTGCTGTCACTGGCAGCCATTGCCAGGACTGTGCTGGGCCCTTTGGGGTCCGCACTGCTTGAGGGCACAGGTGACGCCTGCCTGCAGAGGGCCCCACCCGACTCTGGCTCAGGAGGAGCCCAGACTGGCCCAGGGTCCCCGGGCTGGTAGGGTCAGCCTTGGCAGGGGCCAGGCACAGCTGCAGTGTTTTCCACACCAAATCAGCCCTTGGAACATTCTGGAATGAGCTGGCAGTGGCTCTCCCCAGTGTCAGGCCTCGCTCAATCCTTTTCTAGGAATTAGGCTCTCCTGGCCTGGGTGGCCTGGGGAGGTGCCAGCAGCGGGGGGCGTGTGAATGGGGGGGCGTTAGGGGGGCATGGAGGGAGGACAGGTCGCTTCCTCTCCCCGGACCTGGTGACGCTAATGGCTGAACAGTGGTGACCGCCTGCCCTGCGCACGAGGGTCAGAGCCCTCCCCAGCGCCTTCCCCACTGTGGCTGCGCCCAGCCCAGTGCCGCTCACCCCGCTGTAGGAGCTTCAGACAGCCCAGCTGGCCGTAGTAGGCGGCCTCGTGCAGCGGCAGCCAGCCTTCCTTGTTGGGCTCTGCGAGGTTCTTCCCTTCCTTGATCATGGCCTTCAAGGCCTCGTCGTCGCCGTCCTTGATGGCCTTCAGCATGGGGTCTACGGCCCTGAGGAACAAGGAGCAGTCAGTCCTCAGGAGCCTGCTGGCAGAGCCACGTGGTCAGTGTGACCCAGGGTCTCCCGGTCCTGGTCATCCCTGCTGGCTCTAGGAGAGGGGTTCAGTGCCCTGGGGACCCCCCTGCCCCCTGCTTTGCCATGGCTGCAGCAAATGATATGCAAGGCCGATTCTAGCGGGAGGTGCAGGCACACAGGGCCCACCCCGCCTGTCCACCTGCCGGGGCCATGCTGAGCTGCCAGCAGCCCAGAGGGGAGGCACGGACACTTCTGGGGAGCAGTTCTCGGGGGCCTCCCTACTCCCCTCCCTGTCCTCACTCCTGCAACCTCCGGGTGCTAAAATCCGCGGATCCTCGAAGGGCTGATGACCTCGAAGCCTTCGCGGTTTGGAACCTGTCAGAAAGATGTCTCTGCTTGGCTGTCAGAGTCACCTTGCCCATTCATTCATTCAATCATTCATTCAGCTCTGTTCCCTATCCTTAGGGAGCCAGTGAGTGCCATGCCTGCTAGGACTCCCAGACCCCCTTCTGCGGAGGCTGCTGTACACACAGCCCCATTTTCCAGATGGAAAAGTGAGCTTGGAGGGGGGCACTGTTCCCAGGAGCTAGCCCACGCGCCTCCCAGCAGCTCCCCCTCCCCACCGGTGTGAGCTGCACTTCCTCCTGACTCTCTGGTTATTAATAGCACAGAGCGCAGAAGTCAGTCAACCACAGCCCGAGCAAGGACGGTGGGAAACTGACCAGATGCGTCCCGGAGCCTCCATCAGCACCAGCGCTGCCGCTCTGCGAAGTGCCGGCGGCAGAGCACCCCGGTCAGCCTCAGGAAGCACCCCAAGTGGTAGGCGGCCCCCTCCCTGGAGGAGCCCCGCTGAAGGGAAGGGAGGGCACCAGCTCTGCTCATGGCCTTGGCGAGGGGCCGCAGGCATCACTCCCCTGCGCGGCTCCCCAGCTGTGGGGCACGACCCCTCTGTGAGCTCCAAGAGCCTGCCCCAGAGGGGCACCCTGGAGGCCACTTTGTCCCTTCCATCCTGTCCTACAGAGAAGGGAGACTCAGAGGCGACTCCAGGCGGGGACCAGCGCTGGGACCCCCTCTGCTGGCTGTTGGCCCCCAGTGCTGGGACCCCCTCTGCTGGCTGTCGGCCCCACAAGCAGCACCAGAAGCCGTGGGGGCAGCAGGCCTGAGACTGGTGCTGAGAGGCAAACGCGGGCTGGTGGCTCCTCCCCTCCCTGCAGCGCGGAGCCAGGAATGGGTGCCCAGCCCTGGCTGTTGATCACCTCGAGGGCCCTGGGGGTGCAGAGAAGCGAGGGAGACGGCGCGGCTTCCCCAGGCAGCCGGGAGCCCAGTGCCCGTGCCAGGCAGGCAGAACCCCTCCTGCAGCTCTGATTATTTCTGGATTTTAGCACCTGACACTTAACAAATAAAGACCACAAAACAAAACGAAAGTTGAGGGTGTGGGTGTCTGGAGGGGCTGCGCCCAGGGCCACAGTGGTGTGGAGCAGGAGGGAGCTGGGACAGGCCAGAAACAGCTGACTCAGAGCCCTCAGCTCCCCGCTCCTGGGGCCCCAGCCTGCCTCCTGCTGGGTCCCGCTCCCACACGGGTCCCTTTCCGGGGGGCCTCGAGGGCTCAGTCATGGGTGCAGTCTGGCTGGCGGCTGCTGGAGGCCCGCAGTCTGCAGCCATGGAGCCCAGCACCGCGGAAGCAGCCAGGGTAGGGGGGTGTGCACCTGCAAGAGGTTTGCTGGGTGCCCCAGCTTCCTGGGGGCTGTGGCCCTGCTCCCCACCCCCACCCTCCCAGCCACCCCCACTCAGACAGTGCCCAGGGTGGTGGGGGTCACTTACACTGGCTGCGAGGTCTTGAACAAGCTGCTGCTGTATTTCTGCAGGACCCCTTGGAACAAGCCCATGGGGGCTGGGGCCGTGGCCGGCGGGCTCTGGGGAGGCGCGCTGGACCTGGAGGGTGCAGAGCAGGAGTGAAAAAGGGCAAAATACTCTGCATAGGAGAAGCGGGTCATGGCTGGAGGCCGGACCGAGGATGGAGGCAGAGCCGGGGAGAGACTGAGTGACAGACAGGCACAGGGCGCTGAACCAAAGCAGATGGCCGGGTCCTCTCTGTGTGCTGGACACAGCTGCTGCGTCTCCAGATTATTTTTGGCCCTTGGAGGAAGCCCTGGGAGATTTAAATGACCATATAAGACAACAATGAGGTTAACCTCACCCCCAGCCTGGCGGTCCCCCTCCCCAGCCAACCACAAGAGAGCAGATAGGAGTCAAGGTGACATTCATCCCCCAGCAGGTCCCAGGATGAAAGGGGCCCAGGCTCAGCAGCCGGCCGGGCGGGTCCTGCAGGGGCTGGACGAGAGCTGGGTGGGGGAGCGGGGACAGGGCAGCCAAGCTGAGATGCCAGGGCTGGGCACACATGGTCTGCAGGTTACAGCCGCGGAAACCAGCGGGGTCAGAGCTTGGGGTCAGACAGAAGCGCAAGCCCAGGCTCTGGCACTTCCTAGCCGTGTGGCCCGAGAAAAGCCGGCCCTGTCTGTCCTGCACCTGTCAGGCGGCATGAGAGCTGCCCTGTGTCACAGGCAGCACGGAGGGCTGGCTGTGGGTGGGACTGGGGAGGACGCAGCCACTAGCGGAGGGCACTCTGTGGGGAGCTGCCACGGTGGCCCTGAGCAGGACCCATGGTCTTCTAGCACCGCTGTGGGGCAGACAGTGCTGGGATAGAGGACAGGAGCTGTCACCCCCTGTCACTGCCGCCACCTCTGCCTTCCCCTTATCACCCTCTTCTTCTGACGCCCCCTGCCCGTGCTCATTCACAGACCCTCACTCATTAGCCCTAGGCGTCCACGTGGCTGCCTTTTGCCCGTGCGGACACTGGGGCTCGGACTGAGCTGCAGGCAGCGGCTGCGGGAGTGGAGCCGCCCGGATCCCCACGCACACCCTCCTCCAAACGCCGTTCCCTCCTCCCTCCCGTTCTGCAGCCTCCACGTCACCAGGTGCCCTGGCTTCAAACAAGCCCCTTGGCCTCTGTGGGCCTCTGTTTCCTCACCTGCACAATGGAGGGCAGCGTGAGACTGGGGGGATCCTCACTGTTCACATAGCTGGGGAGAAACTCCATGTATCACATGGATCCAAGAGCCGCCATGTGGGAAGGGGCGTGCAAAGCCCAGCCAGCCAAGGCTGCCCTCCTCAGGCCCTGCCAGCTGCTGGGCTCCATGTTCCCAGCACTGCTCCTGGCCCTGCGAGCAGGAGGGGCTGAGCAGCTGCCAGGTGACTTCGGGTCAGCTCACCCCTGCAGCCGCCTGCCCGGTGGTCTTGACGAAGCCCTGGGCTTCTGTCTCTGTGCAATTCTCGGGTCTCAGCCACTCTCATCCCCTGTTGGCGTGTGGCCCCCGACCCCTTATTGCTGTCAGATATTTTTAGCAAGCTTTCAAAAAAAAATCAGCAGCGATAAAGCCACCTCCCCAGGCACCATCCTGAAGCCAGGATCTCCCCCCGCACTATCCCGATGGCCGCAGGGGTGGCAGGGGCGCTGAGGCCGGTGGGGCTGGGGTGAGATGGTGACAAGGACGTCCCCTCACGAGCGCGCAGGACAAACGTTCACAAAGCCAGTCCAGGCATCGCTTCAGCCCCGCCTCGCCCCCAGCCCTGCCAGCCGATGGAGGCAGAGGGCATGTTCCCATTTTACAGATGAGGAACACACAGACTGAGTTCCATTCAGCACAGATGTCCCGGCTCTGGCTGGGTCCCCAGCTCTGCACCAGGGGCTGGGGGAGACGGATCACTAAAACGTGCCCTTTTGTGACTCCTTGAGTCATTCACATGCTAGGAGGGTAAGCGACAAGGACACATCCAATCACAGAGCTGCAGCAGGGAGCTGAGATCTGGGCGGGAGGATTTGGAACTTTTTTTTTTTTTTTTTTTTGACAGGCAGAGTAAGATAGCGAGAGAAAGAGAGACAGAGAGAAAGGTCTTCCTTCCATTGGTTCACCCCCAAAATGGCCGCTATGGCCGGCGCTGCGCTGATCCGAAGCCAGGAGCCAGGTGCTTCCTCCTGGTCTCCCATGCGGGTGCAGGGCCCAAGCACTTGGGCCATCCTCCACTGCACTCCCAGACCACAGCAGAGAGCTGGACTGGAAGAGGAACAACCGGGACAGACCGGCGCCCTGACCAGGACTAGAACCCGGGGTACTGGCACCGCAAGCAGAGGATTAGCCTAATGTGGGTTAGCTGCGGCGCTGGCTGGACTTGGAGCTCTGAACTCAGGATGCGGTTGCTCAGGGTCACTGTGGGGTGAGTCTTGGAGCCCTCGGGCTGCGCTGGTGCTGATGGAGGCTGGGGGCCCCACTTCCCCCTGCAGGGCCCCGGCCCGGGTAATTCCCAGTAGGGCAAACCGCAGGGCTGTCAGGGCTGTCATCGGAGGTGAGAGAAACCTGCCCGGGGCGGATGTGGGCCAGGTCGTGACCTGGCCGGGGCTCAGGGAGGGCCCTCCCTCCCTACCTTCATGTATCTGCAGCAGTCTGGGGGCTGGTGAGTCACCATCACCCAGCTCCAAGGCCCCGACCTGGAGCCCAGCGGAGCCTGGCTGCAGACGAGGCCAGGTGAGAATGACCAGTCTGTGTATTGAGCAAGACGCCTGGCCAGGAAGGGATTTACACTGAGCCAGGGCTGGCTGGCCGCTGGTGCCAAGCAGGCGTCTGCACTGGGGAGGGGGCTCCCATGCCTACTCTGTGCCAGGAAGCTCTGTCTGTCCTTGCATCTGAACCCCAGGGCACTGGGCACAGATACCAAGAGTCCAATGCCTGGCACGCAGGAGGTGCTTCATAAATCCAAACAAACGGATCCAGACAGATAAACCAAGGCCTTTGAAGGAGAAAAAAAATCTCAAATTCCTGGGTAGGGTAGGGGAGAGCTCCTGGCCTCAAGCTACCCCCCAGCCCTGCAATGCTCACTCCCCCAGGGTCCGTGGATCAGCTTCCCCGGGCTGGCCAGAGAGGAGCCACGTGTGGAGAGGGACGTGAAACCCACACGGCAGCAGCTCTGCCCGCGCGTTCGTTCAGGTAGCAAGTCGGAGCGCCCCGTCACCCCTGCCCCTGCGTGCAGGGTGACTTGGCTTCCTTTGCAAATGAGGAGCAGGGGGGGGGGGGCCTCGGAGGTTCGCTTTCCTCCATTCTCCTCTCCTCGCACGACCCCCACCCTGGGCTGGGTGAGCTGACCTCTCTGCGTCCTCGGAGACCGAGCCAGCCCTGCCGCTGCGCTCTCTCTGCTGGTCCCCGTGCACCTGTGGCTTTTCCCGCCATTCGACCAGGAGAGCAGGGAGGGCGACCCCAGGCCCAGGGCCAGTGCACAGTAAGAGTGGGTGGGCGGACTTGAACTGCTCACAGCTGTGCACGCAGCACCGAGCAACTTCCTGCTTTGCGTTTTCCTCCTTTGTCTTCTCAGAAACATTTTCCATGAAATGCGGAAGTCTGAAGACGGTATACCCTCCGGGGCTGGCCGGGCCGTGGCAGCGTGGACACCTGGCCTCACCCCTCCACCGTGCAGGAAGGCGGCTCTGCCTCTCGGGGAGCAGCGCTGGGCCAAAGCGTGCCTGGTGGTCCTCGTGCGGCTTCCAGACGTCACCCCTGACGTCCTGGTGGGGGACAAGCAAGGGGCAGAGGCTCTGGAGAGGAGACCCCATTTCCTGTGGGGCTGAGCTGGCTCTCGTGCCCGGGACCCCAACAGCTCCGGTGACTGCTGTTTTGGTCACAGAAGATAATGACCAACTACATTCCTAGAGTATTTTGTTGGTTTCTTGTTCTCTTCTTTTCTCTCTCTCTCTTTTTAAATATTTGAAAGGTAGATAGGGAGGGGACAGAGAGATCTTCCACATGCTGGTTCACTCCTCAAATGCCACAATAGCCAAGTCTGGGCCAGGCCGAAGCCAGCAGCCTGGACCTCCCTCCAGGTCTTCCACGTGGGTGGCAGGAACCCAAGGACTTGAGCCAGCACCTGCTGTCTCCCTGGGTGCACGTTTAGCAGGAGCTGGAACTTGAACCCTGGTGCCTGGTACGAGATACCCGTGTCCCATGCAGCACGTTAACTGTTAAGCCAAATGCCTCATCCACTTTCTGGGTTTTAAAGTGCAATTATTTGCCAAATATATGTACATATTAGGCACCTATGGTATACAGGCTCTCGGCTGAGCATACCAGAGTGAACAATGTCTGCTTCCTGTCCCCAGCAGCTCGCAGTGTAGCTGGGGAAGCAGAGGCCGTCACAGGGCGGGTGCTCAGGGCACTAGGAAGGGGCGGGGAGGCCCAGCCAAGCTGCAGGCCGTGCGGGAAGCCCCCGCACCAACCTCCTCATCTTTGCCAGGCAAGCTTTCGTTTTTTGCATTTTAGGGATGAAGTCACTGGGGCTCAGATAGGGAAAGTAACTCGCCAAGGTTGCACAGCCAGTGAGTGAGGAGGAGGAACGTTGTGACTCCAAAGCTACTCCTCTTCCCGCCTCTTGCTTCGTGATTTTGATCACCCATTCGCTTGCTCACGGATCTCGGAGCTTGCCCTGGGTCAGACATGGGGCTTCATGCCAAATAGGAAAACAGCTGCAGCAGCCAGAGCGAGGGCCTGGGGTAGCACCTGGGAGAGGTAAACTCCAGCAGGAGACCTGAGGGAGGCAAAGGAGCTGCCTGGGTGTGCGTGAGATGTGGCTCTGGGGACCTGACCGTGGGGAGGCGGATATGACCAGGCCAAACCCCACTTCAGGGTGGGGGGCTGGGGAGGAAGCGGCAAGCGGCCCTGGTAGTGTCAGCAGAGCCTGCTGCCCGTCTGGACCTCGGAGCTGACCGACCTCGCTCCAGTTCTGGCCCTGTTGTGTGCGTTTTCTGATCTGTGAATTGGCCCCAGGACCATCCACCTTGCGTGGCTTCTTAAAGCACCGAGCGTCTTCACGTGTGTCAGGCATGTGGGAGGCACTTGTGTGCAGGGGGAGGAGCAGAGTTGCACTCAACACCACGTCCAAGGGTTTTTCTTCCCAGGCGCGGCCCGGTCCAGAGACAAAGGGACAGAGGGGCAGGGCTGAAGCCAGGAGGTCTCGGGTCCCACCAGGGCAGGGACGTGGCCTGGGCCTGCGTCGTAGCCGAGGGTGCCTGACCCAGGGGGAGGGCTTTCCCTTCCCTGTGAGGGCTGCTGCCCCAGGAGGCTGCAGAAATGCAACGGCCCACGCTGCTGCCCACTTCCTCACCCCGAGATGGAGGAGGGGGCATCGGTTCTAAGGTTCCTAAGTGGCCCTGGGGCTTGTGGGAGGGGCTCCGCTGGGGAGAGGGCCTGCTGGCTTCCGCACAGCGCCGGCCTCTGCTGCCCTGCTGCCTCTGATCCCGGCTGAGAGGAGGAAGCTGTGTCTGCCTCCTCCAGTGTAGACCTCGCTGAGTTAGCTCCCTGGGTGCTGGGTTTCTGCCCCAGAAAGCCAGGTCCTCGGGGACAGCTCAAGGCCTTGGAGTCGCCACACTGCTGCCAGCTACCTAATGAGGCTACAGGGGCGTCCTCAGCCCAGCCGGCTTGACAGAGGGGCTCCGGCCCGGCAAGGGTCAAGGGCACAAAGGCAGGTGTCCCTGGGGGGCGGGGCCTAGATGGGCCGTTGCCTGCCTTTCTCCCTGATCAGCTGTGCCTGGACACTGCCAAAGCCTGCTTACTGTTGTGATTAGAGGCAAAGTTGAGCTTCTCAGAGGGTAAGTGGCTTGCCCAAGGTCAGATGGTTATTAGAGACAGCAAGATTTGAGGTCCTTGCCCCAACGTGACACCAACACAAGGATCCTAGCCATCCTCAGGCCCCTGCCACTTACCCCCCAAATACACCTGACCTTGGCTCAGGAGTGAGCAAAAGCACTTTTATAATTCATTTCTTTCCTAAAAGCGTTTCAAGGGTTCATTCAACAAAGGCTCCATCTACTCTGGCTCCCAGCTCTCCCAAGGAAGGTGTCCTTGAGATGGGAGCTGCCCCACTTGGCAGCCACTGGCCACACGTGGCTCTGAGCACGTGCTGTGTGTCCACTCTGACCTGCCACGTGCTGCAAGGTGCCACTGCATGTCCAAGACATCATAGCAGGAAAAGAAGGCACACGTCTCCCACGTGGTTTTTGTACTGATATACGTGGAAACGATATTTTGGGCATCGAGTAGAGAGAAAAATGAATTTCGCCTGTTTCTCCTCACTTCCGTCATGTGGCCCTGAGTGTATGTATTAGAAACTGCACCTGTGGGCTGCAGTTGGCACTCGCGTCGTATTTTGGGGGAGGTGCTGTGACCCGGATGCTGAGATGGAGCGGGAACAAGGAGGCAGGAGGCCCCCTGGGCACTCACCCTGGCCTCCCAGGCATGCTTCCTCAGGAAGCTGTGTCGGGGTTGGGAGCGCTGGCCGGACTCCCAGCACCTGCTCTACAGAGGCCGAGCGCAAGCGCAAAGCCAGCCCCGCACGGCCGGAGCTCGGGCTCAGGAGCCAGCAGGTCCCACCGAGAGCAACAGCACCCTCCAGCCGCGTGACCTCAGCCCTGGCCTTCGGTTTCCGCCTCTGTATGCGGGGCGTGGGCTCTGCCTGGAGCAACGAGGCGAGGGTGCCCAGCTGCCCCCGGCGTCCGTGGAGTCAGCCAACCACGGGCCAGAGAGATTTAGGGGGAAAGGATGTCTTTCCCGAGCACACGGTGTCGTCAGAGCCGACTGCAAGCACACAGAGCCGAGCTTCTGACACAGGCCGGTTCTAGGCCAGTTTATACCAGGGCCGTGAGCGTCTGAGGGGGTGCTGGTCACCATGGGGGTCCCGAGACCAACCCCCTGCGGACACCGAGGGCCCGCTGCACGCACTTACCGCAGGGCCTGGCACCGTCGCCGTAAGCTTAGATGACAAATGCAGATCTCTAAGGCATTGGGAGGCATCCCGGAGACTGGGATCGCTTGGTTTTGGACAGCAGCACTTGGAACCCGCACCTTACAGACGCCCTCGTGGGCCCCCACTCAGATGCCTCCTGGGCCTTGTCTCGCTCACCTGGTCCTGGGGTAGCAGTGGGCAGCTTGGCGGTTGGCACGAGTGGAGCCGGCGGCCTCGGGAGCGGCCGGGCCGCAGGCCTTGTCGGCCAGGCTCTGCTCGATGGCCATCTGGACGAGCTCCTCCTCACTCAGGCTGCTGTACAGACTGTATTCCTCCTGCCCGATGGCGCGCTGCCGGCCCCGAGCGCGGATCTCCGTCGCCATCCTCTTCCTCCTCGCGCCCTGGCTTCCAGAACGGCCCCTCGGCGGGGAGGAGCGAACGGCAAGGGAGAAAACCCTGGAAGAGACCACAAGTGTCCTGGTCGCAGCCGTTCTGCAAGACGGCCACGTGTGCCCACGGAAGGCTGTGCTTCCTCCTGTCGGCCACGGACTCACTGGTCACCCACTTGGCCGTCTCAGCCACGCAGCCATGCACACATCCACCTGTCCGCTCACCGGTCCCTCCCTCCATCCAGCCACTTACTCACCCTTCCACACAGCCTTCCACTGCCCACCCACCCGCAAGAGGGGTTCCTAGAAAATGGGATTTAAAATAAGTATGTTTTGGTGCAAAAAAAAAATAACTTTGAATATCAGTGCACGGTATTTTCCTAGTACATATTTTCCATGAATTTGTTGACAGTCCCTCATCTATCCACCCATCCACCTATCCATCTATATATCCGACCGTCTAAGCACCTACCCCCCACCAGACCTCCTAGCCCCCCATCCATCTTCCTGTCCATCTGTCTGTCCACTCACACAACCACTCACACGTCCGTCTTACCACCAGTATCCATGCCTACATCATCCATTCTGTCTGTCCTCCCGTCCATCCACAGTCCCACCTCTTCGCTCCACGTGTAGCCATCCGTTCCTATGTGTACACACACGTATGTGCACGTACGGTCACTGGACGATGATTTCTTGAGCACCTACTCTAAGCCAGGCTCTCTCCCAAGCACTGGGGATACAGCAGTGACCCCGACAGACAAACAGCTCTGCCCTCGGGGAGTTGCACCAGCGATGGCTACACTGTTGTTCCGATCGCCAGCCACGTGCTGTCATGCTGTGGCTCCCGTGCCCTGCGCTGTGCTAGGACTGAGGACATGGAGATGAATCAGACGTGGGCCCACTATCGGAGGTCACACGAGCTGGTTAAAATCAATCAGTCGCATGATTGGTCCGTTAATCCCAGGGGCTGGCTCCTTGAAAAATGCTTCAGGGAGAGACGGACCTCGGTGGAAGAGACAGCTTTTAGAAAATCCTTAGCCTGGTTATCGGCCCCCTGGAGGCCAATATTCCCCCTCCCTTCCCCAGCGCTGGTGGACCCACATCCACGTGATCTGCTCTGGCCGTGAACACAGGTGGACGCGACACAAACAGCCATTCAGCCCGGACTTGTGCCTTGGAGTTTGCGCCTGCTCCTCTGCCAGCCCAAGGAGAGGAGCTGCGCTTCAGGCTGAGCCCCAGAGGGAACCCACGTGGAGGGCAACTGGAGCTCACCTGCCCGGGGAGCCCTGCCCAGCTGAGTCTTGGGGTGTGGGCTGGCCTGCAGATCAGTGCTTGACTGTCAAGGCTTACCTACACACCTAGCATTGCTCCTCGTGCTCAGGTCGGGGGCAAGTGCCCTGAGAGAGGAGCTTCTCCCTCTGGGCTGCGGTCAGTAGCTCATGTGTGCACTTGACCCCTGACCCTCTTTCCAAGGTCAGCGCCCTATAGAAGGAACTTGAGGGTCACCGTGAGGCTGGGTGAATGTCTCCATTATCACA